GTAGGCTGCAAAGGAACAAGTAATAGGTTTATTCCATGCTGAAAAAAAGAAGAAAGAGAACACAACGTTTCGGCCGTGGAGCCTTCTTCAGGTGTGTCACTAATGACACCCTTAACCACTAATGTTAACTGATGCTTGTAGCTGATCAGCCTGCTTGATTGGACTTTTTCACTCCATCCTTGGTTTAAAAAATATATTTACAGCAACTTAAACTGAACTTGTTAAATAAAGGTTTGTTCCTTTTATTCTGACTAAAAAGCTCTTAAGAGGTAATACAGTGATTAACCTGTAGAGGGGGTGATTATACTATATCAAATACTTTCATTAAACAGTAGGTGCTTTTCCTTTTTGCAAAGGTCTTATTGGTTATGTTTCAGCTAATATGCCTGAACAAGGGTAAGATCTGAAATACATCGGAATTGGAAGAGGATTAATACCAATTACAAATCTCAATGTGTTACAATGTATTAAGAACTACAGGGAGAACTAAAATGACATTTCAAATACAAAACCAAAATCAATTTTATCAAAGAACTTGGAGCAAAAACCCCAAAACACAGCATACCCCCCAGTTCAGGATAGAGGACTCCTTTTTTGTTATGAACTCATCTGGAACCTTTCTGCAGAAAGGCAGCCAAGGTACAACTCCCAGCACTTCAAAATGGCAAACCATAGCCAAGGCACTCGGGAATGTTGATGACTTGCACTTTGTGACTAAGAGGTTGATGGATTAGTTAAAATAACCAATTTCGAATGTGAGGCCCTTCCTGGTCAATTTTACCTTAGCTCAAAAAAAATGATGCCCATTGTCAATTGCTAATTCTAAACTACTGCAAAGGGACTGAGAACTGATGTGAAAAGGGTAACCAAAGGAGAAAACCTTTAGCACAGCTGGATGTACACTGCATCACAGCACTGACATTGCAGTTATGGGTCCTCAAAAAAGAACTGAAGCTCAAGTTGCAGTGTATGGTAGTATATTGATTTCAGAATAGTACAGATCAAGGGTCTCTAACCTACAGCCTGAGAATGAAGTAATAAAGTATTTTTATCTAGCCCAAGAACAGAGGACAGCGCCAGCACTGCATGCTTACGGGCAAGTGTTAAAGAAGTGAAATAACCTTTATCTCATGTTCACTTGTTGTTCTTGAGTTTTCTTGCATTGTTTGTTTATTTATTTTACATCGAAATGTCAGGAGCTAAGAGGAGAAAAGGTGATGAAGAGTGCCATCTACCTAACCTTTCACTGTCTGGCCCAAGGTTGGAGACCCTTGGTATAGATAATGAATGTATGGACTGAGTGCTTAAAATAGCACTAATCATTAGGTCTGTGCTTGAAGTGAAGCACTGCTCCCTCTTGGCGCTTGATATTGATCACAAACCAATAAGGAAAGTAAATGCAAGAACTGTGATCCCCTCTCCTTATCCTGTAGTCACAAGTATTTCTGGTTTTCTATCCACTTAAGCTCCTATAAGTACTTAATTGAATCAATTATTGATTTCAATGGTGTAAATTCCCACTGTTTCACATGGGAAATCCATTCCCCTGTATGTCCTGCAGGGTTGTGATATGCCATTCCCCTGTATGTCCTCCTTGTGTAGAACAAGGACTCTATTGTCCTCACACACTCAGCCTAGGAAAAGCAAATGAAGTACATCAGTCATTCTTAATAATAATAATCTTTTAATTGAAACTTTCGCACAGTAATAAAAGCAATTAAGTTTTGTACAAATCTTTGCCCTTGATATAGACAGTATATAAAAATTGATCTAAAATTGTTTTCTTGAGAGGTCATTTGCTCCTGAAGAGTGTTTAAGTTTGATAGGTATCTGGTTGGTTGACCAGCACTTTTGATCACAGTATGTAGTATGAGGAGCTGTTAATTGGGATGTCAGGTTTACACTGAAGCTCAAGTAGAACACAATTAACTAGCTCTTAATTAGCTCTGTTTCCTGTCTTGCCTCTGTCACTGTTGTGGATCTAGAGATAGGTCACTAGCTGTACCCCCAGTGCACTCATCTTTTCCTGCACATCTACTGAGTCAGAATATTGAGAGAAGACACATCATACTGCTCAGTGTCCAGGCTTTTTTTTGGCATCATCAGAGCGTCTTGCTAGACTGCTTGAGCCATCTGCTGTGTAAGCACAGGGTGCGGATGGGCTCAGTGAAGTGGAAACACTGCCTTGCCCCTTGCCCTTTGCCCTGCACTAGAGTGACTGCCTGCCTTGGTTTTACATTTCAGGTTGAGCCATAAGAGTCAAGAAAACTTCAAAGACGCGGAAGGGATCTGAAGGCGTAGGCAGGAAGGAGTGCAAAGAGAGTATTTCCTGCTTGGTTTTGGGTAAGGACTCGGGAAGTCACCTTTCTCTTTCCTTCTCAGGACCTCGTGCTCGCTGATAAAGCTGTTCCCATGGTGATGCTTAAGGCCGCTGTGGTGAGGGCTGCCTGTGGAATGATAATCTCCTGGAAAAGAGGCTTCCCAGCTGCTCCCTGGAGGGTTTGGAGAGGGAGAGAGGGCTAAGGGGGTCATCGGGAGAATATTGGAACTGATTCACAGGAGCAGCAGCATCTGATACTTCAGCACACATGACGTTTCAGGCTGTGATATGGCAATTAGGCATTTAAACTACAGTATAACATAGTGTGCTCAACGGTTGCTTGAATTGTGCTGTCTTCTACAGATTTCAGTATCTGACACTTTGAAATTTGAAAAAGACCAGTTGTCGTTTTTTCCTCCTACAGTAACACAGTTACTGTTCACGTAATCCACTCTTATTCCTTTCTACTATGTTGAAGATGGAAGGTCCTTTTGTTTGGGTATGGCAGCACTGTCCACTTTAGCTGTAATGCAGATGTTTTTGGCTCCAAATAAACATCAGCCTGTTAGGTATTTGTGTGAACTGACTGAAGCTTATTTAAAGCAAAATCACAATAGCAACAGTGCCATTGCAGAGATGTAGGTTATCTTTGTGTGCATAGGAGAGCTTGACTGCCTAGACACTGAGGTTAAAAGGCTGTGTTTGATTGTTCTCCATTGTCCAGGGTTTTTCAGCCAGTTTGTTTTTCTTTTTGTCAATAATTGAGGTTTTCATTTTACAAATTGATAGTAGAGAGGTTACTCAACAGAAGAACCATTGCTGCATTTATAAGAATGTTTTAACCAGCTTTACAAAAATAACGTGAGTGTTAATTTGAGCATCTGAGTGGTGTTGAAGGTAGGATCTGAAAAAAAAACTATTTTATAAAGACGGCTGCTGTATAAAGTAGGTCATAATCATAAAATTATTTTGTAAGCTCCATGTAAAGAAAGTGAAATATCCACTTGACAAAAGGTTAAAATTTGCACAGAACTGTTAATTATATTTAACATAAGTTTAGATTTCAGAATTCTTATCAGCTGCCTGAGGTTCCCCCTGGACGACTCAGATTGTCTTAGAAAAGGTTTTTCCTTTATATCAATAAATCTAACCTATTTTCATCAATAAATTCTAACTGAAAGAATGATATCCTGATGTTTCTAAAATCAAGTCTGTTGTATAAAGTCAGTGCTTCTCAAGTAAATATAGTTTCCTCCTGTTCAACAACATGGTTATCTATGGGAGTCCATCATGAGGAATCTCACAAAGTGCTGCTCATTTTTAGAGCTCACAAGTTCACAAAACACTGGCTCAGACTTGCAATATTTCTGTCCAAAATCTGAAGGCTTATGGGCCTTGTTAGTTGGTTTGTTTCTAATACCCTAATCCCTATCCTCCAGGAGGAGCTCACAGTGATGGACACCAGAAAGTAGAAGTGTTAGCAGTGATGGCGAACAGGCCTGGTGGTTATCAGGACCTAGGGATAGAGAGCCTGGGTGTGGTAATAAAATACAGAGCTTTTTCTAGGGAGTTCTTGCTGTTTCTGCAAATTCATCACCAGAGAAGCAGCCAGCTTCTTGTGTTGTACTATTCAAACAAAAGAGCATGCAAAATATCTATTATATAATTCTAGTCTTACCTATATATGGTCTAAATAGTATGTGAAACAAGAAGCACTGTATTTCAAAGCACACATAATATATTTTCTTCTTTTATAAGGGCAATAAAAAGTTCAAAAGCAAGTGTGTTTAAGGCTGTCAAGAACAGTGAGCAGTGCTATCTCAAGACTAGGTGTTTCCATTTGGTAGTATCCTGTGCAGATAAGATTGATAAGGACTGATCTGAAGATTGTCTGGCTCTTGTTAGAGCTGATAATTGCTCTGAGACCTGAAGTGATTTGTATCCTGCCCACCTGTGAAATACTTTGCCAAACCTTCCCTTGACATTAATTGAAATATCTGGTTTGATGTAAGGTGCTGCAGTTTTTATGGGTGACTTATACATTTTGTTTAGGTAAAGTCAGATGTGTCTAATAAATCTTTCACCTGTGCAGAGGCTTCACAATGGTTTTCACCTGTTGAATTCCTTGTCTAGGCATTTATTTTTATTTATGAAACCAGTAAGAAAATATTTTTTTAAAAAGCGCTTTTTTTTTCAAATCCTAGGTGAACATATCATATATCATATTTATGAGGCAGATGTAACTGCAGCTTTATAACTGTAGGATTCATAACAAGGGCAGAATATAATCTTATTGTCCGGAAGCATTCACAGCAATATTGCACATTTCAAGAAATTACTAGCAGCTGGAACACTTTCATTCTTACATTTGTTAATTCAAACATAACCATTTTAATTCATTTTCTTTTCTTTCCAATTTAATCTCTGATTGGGGGAAAAATAAAGAAAACCACATAAAAGAGTGATTTTCAGACACTCTGCAGACTCCATTACTTTGAATTGTAGGAATTCAAAGGTACAGTAGTTTCACAACTTAGAAAGTTTGAATAGTTGTACATAGTGGTGCTTTTTAAATTATTTTGCTTACCTTAGAAACATTGCTTTCAGTATGCTTGGTGTCTTTTAAGTGCTTGGATTGTGCTTAAGAGTGATTTCTCTGAGCTGCACTGACTTAGTCATGATAGAAGAACAAGTGCATTTGTTTTCTTCTGACACATTTGCTGTCAGTTATTTAATTTCAGTTGTTTACCTTAGTCAGTCTTCTGTAAGTATATTCAAACTTCCACACAATAAAGCTAGCTGCAGTCATGGGCTCACTTCCTGAAAACCATATTTATAGCAATAGCAAGCCTGGCCCAGCTTGCCATTTGCTGCCAGATGCTTTAAATGACTAGCTGAGTATATCTCCATAAACCCTTTTTTGTTTAACTTGTTTAAAAATTAAGGGTTGTATGGATTTTATATAGACTATTTTAATGTCTTTTTTTATGATGTTAACTACACTTAACATGCTTACAAAGTTAACCCGCTCATTGGGGAGTATGGTAAGAATGTGCTGCCTCATCCAATTAAAAAAAAAATATTTTATGAAAGGGTGAGTTTGCTGGTTTAGTTTTCTGGTTAGGTTTGTTTTAATATAAATCTCTGCAATATGTGAGAAATTAAAAATTAAGCTGTTTCTGTCTTCTGTGTGTTCTAAACCCCTCTCTTTCAGCTCTTCATGGTCATTCCTCCATTGCCATCACTGTCACCACTCTGCGTTGGGGAATTTTGTAGTGCCTCTCTAAAGGCAGGTTCCTTACCGGGTCTCATTATTGGTGATTTATTTCCTTCTAGCTTACACATAGCTAAAAGACAAGTCAGGTCAAAATTTTTATAGTCTGCTGTGTTTTGAGGCTTGTATTATATGTTATATATTATATATTATGTATTATATGCAAATTTCTTTGTATAAGAATCTGTTTAGCTGACTTTTTTGAGGTAAATAGTACCAGGTGTATGTTTTTTTTGGTTCTAATCTTGAAAAAATGATTTACTGTGCCTTCAAATTCTATGAAGATGTCTGTTTTTGTTTGTTTTGAGTAGCTTCAGTGTGCATTCAGTGAGGAAATTTAAAATTGTGAGTCTTTGACAATAATCCCATGATGTTGAGTGAAACATCACCCTTGACATCAGATTATAAGAGACATTGCTGAGGTGCCTGAATTGATGCTGTACTGTGGATTGGACTAAAGTGTTTGCTTACTTTTTCACCCACTGACATTGAATACTTTTGTATGTTGTGTGTCAATTTTCAGATGAAGTTAGTTTTATCTGCTATTAGGACTCAGTGAAATTTAGGTGAATGTGAAATAAGTCTAAATATATTAAACCATAAAATCTTTAGTAGGTGTACTTTTTCACCACACTGTATAGCACTTTTCATTTCAACCTTGTTGCTGTTCAGATTCAGATTTGCTTACCTTTTTTCAAATGTTTACGCTTAATTTTTACCATAATCCTTCTGAACAGAACCGTTTGTGTTCCCCTAAGCGTTGTTTTGTTTGTTGTAGCCTAATGGTATGTATATCTTCACAGTTTCAATACTGTTAAAACAAAGACCACATTGTTGATCACATAGTCTTTAAATTGTAGTGGTAAACCCAAGTTTGTCATCAAACATACTGATAAGTTGCTGACAGCAATTTGAAATGTTGGACAGATCTGTACAAATCTTCTTTAAGGTCCCCCTAGAGCAGTGGTTCTCAAACTTTTTGGACCAAGTACCACCCCTAATCCAACCAAGTATCCAAGTACCACCTACAAGTCATCATCTCATAGGAACCCCAGAAATTATCAATGACCAACATGAGCGCATGTGCACACACACTCACACATATATATAATAAATATTATAATAAGCTTTGTTTGATATATTAAAATGTGGCTTCTCAAAGTGTTTTACAGAAAAAAAAACAACAAAAAAAAATAAAAAAGCACCATTTCAGTGAGAGGGGTAAGCCTGTTTAGTCGAGCAAAGCAGATGTGAATTAATTTTTCGAGCCTTGATACAATTCACAACAGTCTAACAGATTTTAAATCGTCAGGCATTTTCTTAACGGCAAAGGTCTCGCGGTGGATGTTGCAATGAAACCATTCATTTCTGGAGCAACGTCTCTAATTCGTGCAACTACACCGCTGTGTCGGCTTGTCATTGCTCTAGCACCGTCTGTACAAACTCCGACACATTTTATCCAGTCGATGCCATTCTCTTCGATAAATTCATTCAGAAGCTGAAATACGTGCTCTCCTGTAGTTCCTGTTGGTAGCGGATTACATATCAGAAAGTCCTCACGGGACGTACCCTCAAACTCGTATCTAACGTAAACGAGCAAATTGGCCAAATCGACTACAGACTCATCTAATTGCAGTGAAAAACATCTGGTCATCTTAATGCGCTCTGTCAGCGTACTTTTTATATAATCCTTCATGTCAATAATTCTATGAATGACTGTCTTTCGGGGGGGGGGGCAGCAGGTCGAGCTGTTCAGCAGCTTTTTCTCCACACATAATAGTGTGGGGCTTACCTGCTTTAGCAATCCACAAGCTTGCATTTTTCCACGTTTCCGTTTTTATTTCATTGTTTATCTTAAGTATTTATTTCATGCGCATGTGAGAGAAACACAGAGACGCTCTGTGTATTTTTCTCAAATTAACTTTGAACAGTTCTTAAATATTTTTCTGTTATTTTTCACGCTTTCCTGTGCTCACAAGATTACCAGCGTTCGTAGCACGCATTTCTATGCATTCCTGTGTTTACAACGTTGGCATTGTTCCAAAATCACGCACTTTCTCCTTTCTCCCTGTTTGCTGGAGATACAGTAGCTTTTTTTAAATACAATTGATCACTTGCGTCCGTAGCACGCATTCCTATAGAGTGGTATAGAATTACAGAGTATCTCTTGTGTCCACTGAAGTATTAGCGCGCACTGTATCGTAGTACGTAGGCTGCGTATTCGACACGTATAAAAATACAAAATACGAAAACCCGTCCCGACGCACACAACACGGTTCCAGGGTCATTTGGTGTACCACCTGGCAGCACGCCACGTACCACTGCCGGTACGCGTATGCGTACCACAGTTTGAGAACCACTGCCCTAGAGCATTTGTGGAACTTGTCTGGCATTATTCCCCCATTTTATGGCTTGCTAGTTGTGGTATTATTTTTTAACCTTGGTGAAACTTAGGCTTTTTAATTGATATAGCCTCACTTCAGGGAGAAAAAACTGAGCTTGTGTTTAAAAGCCTGTGACCCATCACTGTCATACCTCTGTTGACAGGTGTTTGAGAATATTTGTACTGCTTTAGTAAATGAGCCCCTTTATGACATCTATACAGTGCTGACTGAGAACTCACTGTATTAACTACAGTAGATCTTCATATAAGAAGTGGGATTCTTTTTCAAAGCAATTCGATTTTCATAACATTCCAAAACTGCAAGATGAGAAAGGAATGTGACTGGGATGTTTGTATTAAGTTTAGTGCGCAAAGTCATTTATGGCTTTGCAAATATAACTATGAGCTATTCTGAAACATGCTGATCTCAATACATTTCTCTAAATAGCTTCTGCACATGCCAAAATGAAAGCAGTAATAGCTATAATCTTGACGGGGTTCTAAGCATGGTGCTGATGAACTAGTAATTCAGGCAAGTTGAATAATTTGCAGCACAGTGTATATTAAAATAGGTGATTCAGATGTCCCGTTATAAAGATTGCAACTCTTACATTGCAGAAAAATGTAAAAAATTCCTTTGCATAAATATAGGTGAAGTGGATAGTACACACAAAGTGAATTTTATATTTGCTATATTTTTTATACAGGTCAATAAAGAAGTTCTTGGTGAGACTGAGTTGATTTTAAACACCTGACTGCTCAAGTGTATATATAATATCTTGTCAATATTGTTTTTTTTATTTTATAAAGCAGCACACATTGCATGACTTCATATCCTCTTCAATACATTTATATTCTTAACCTGGTCTCAGGTATATGAGAGAGAGCTTAAGTGGTTGTGATTTAACTGGCAAAGAGAGAGTTTAAGGGCTGTCTATCCATATTCCATTGAAGTTTTCTGAAAATACCTTTTCCTGCTGCACTGACATGATTGCCTCCTGTTTTACTGTTTAATTGTTCTTGGGCAGAAAAGGTGTTGTAAATCCACTTCATCCAACCCGTATTGTAACACACTGGCCAGCCTCTATATTAAAGAAAAGTGTCAAAATTATTGAGGGATCTTCACCGCTTAGGTTTCTGTAGGCAATAAAGTCTTTCCTCTGAAATACCCACCTTAAATTTGCTTGCTGCTACCGACAATATACTTGATGTATTGAATGCAAGTGGAGCCAATGTGGTACTACAGTGCCAGTGTTAATGGGCTGTGTTTCTTCTGTAGGTGGTGTGCCCATTTCGGAGGGTGGCATTTGGCTGATCAGTGACAGTGTTGATAGAATGGCAGCTGCATTTGAGAACTGCCCAATCACCCTTTGTATCTGAAGAGTTAAGGTGACTCCAGGCGATAGTGATCGCCATGACTACTTCACACATGAACGGGCACGTGACAGAGGATTCAGACAGTGACATGAAGAGTGGTGAGCTGTTGGCTCACGAGGAGCCGCAGTGGCACCGGGAGATGGCAGTGGACTGCCCAGGGGACCTGGGCTCCAGGGCCATGCCAGTGCGGCGCAGTGCCCAGCTAGAGAGGATCCGGCAGCAGCAGGAGGACATGCGGCGCCGCCGCGAAGAAGAGGGCAAGAAGCAGGAGTTGGACCTCAACTCCTCCATGAGGCTCAAGAAGCTTTCCCAGAACCCCAGAATCGGCATAGATAACCCCACCTTTGAGCCTATTGAAGGTCTGCCCCCCCAGGGACCTGGGAGTACGTCCAGAATTCTGGGTGAGTGAGAAAGAGAGAGGTCTCTGAGGAAATACTCTGGGAGAGAATACCTCTTTACTTTTAAACTTCAGCATGGGGATAAAAACTGTGCTCTTTGGTATTTGTGGTGATTTCTAATCATTTCCAACTTACTAACATGCCTCTACTGTGTATCAGCAGTTTTCAACCTTTTTAATGTTGATGAACTCCTGGTATATTGGTGGCTCACTCAAATTTAATCAAATATGTTATTTAGCCGAAAAATCTTATTCTTGCTTAAAGCTCAATTTAACAGTTAAAGTGTGGTAGTCATAACTGTCTAAATTTCAGGGGTTCTTAACCTTTTTGAGAGTGCAACCCTTTTTTGGGTTTAAAAATATTTCGCAAACCCCACTCCCCTCCACACGCACACACAAACACAGATTTTTCAGTGCCAAAGTACTCAGTCTTCCATACTCGGAAATTCAATTTCATCCAGAGGCCTCTCTGTGAACCTCTGCTTAAGGGCCATATCAATAGTCGGATCAATCAATGGTTCCTCTATTTCAAGAGCAATTCCTGTTGCCAAAGAAAGGATTCCTTATCCATTTATCTGTCACAGACACTGCACAGTTTTCTGAAAAAAACTCCCGAAACTCTATTGTCATTCCAACAAGATTAACCTGAATAAGCACACACAGGTCAGCCTTTAAAACTGCTGTCATTCAAACACTCCTCTAGTTCAGGAAAAGCCTGAAAGTTTTCGTTGTCCAGCCGAGTTTGCCACAAGCATAGCTTTCTGATCCAGTCTTCAGTTTTGTCAGAGAGATGAGTTCCCCTTGCAGTCCAGTGTTCACCTCGTTGAGACGTTTGAAAATGTCAGCCAGATAAGCCAGCAGGGCGAGCCAATTTCGTCTGAAAATTTAGTGGCTAGTGGGGAGTTTTTCTCCAATAGAAGTACTCGCCTCTTCTCGGAGCTCGTAAAGGCAACTCAGTACGTTACCCCTGGACAGCCGTCGTACTTCGCTGTAGTACAACAGCTGATGATGTTCTGCTCCCAACTCTTGACAGAGAATCTTGAAAACTCGTGCGCTTGTTGCACTTGTTTACAGTACAATCAGCTTCATCCATTACTTGCAGTTTCTCAGCTGTGGGGGCTTGTCTTTGAATCGTACAATTCGTCCACAAAGCTAATGGAGCAACAGCCTGTACTTTCATGGCCAGCCCAATGTGTTTGCGAGTTATAACTTGTGCACCGTCTGAGCAGATTCCCACACACTTGTTCCAGTCAATTTCATGCTCAGGTACATACTGTTTGTGTCCAGCAAAACGAAAAGTTGATCGCCAGTGGCATGCTCGGGAATTGGATGACAGAACAAAAAATCCTCATTTAATTACTCCCTCTTCAACAAATCTGACATAAACAAGCATTTGTGCATCTCTGGAGATATCAGTGGTCCCGTCAAGTTGTAAGGAATACACACTACATTTTATCTTAGCGATCGCCTCCTCTTCCATGTCTCTTGCCATATGCCCAATGCGGTTAGACATGGTACCATTTGATACTGGTATTGCTAGCTGCTCTGCAGTGCTCTTCCTACACATAATTGAAACCCATTTCCTTAGCGCACAGTAAGAAAAAAGTCTCGCCTAACGTGTGTGGCTTCCCAGTTTTGGCAGTCCAGCTAGCTATGACGAAAGATGCCTGAAGTGCCTTCTGGTTCACGGTAGTGAACAAAGCAGTAGTGGCTTTTTGGAGAGTAGATTGTTGGCCTCTTAGCTCCTGTAGCTCTCGTTAAACAAAACTAATTTCTCCTAATTATCTTTAGCTCTCACTCTTCCAGTGCCACCTATTAAAAAATGCTCTATTGTTAGGCTAATCACGACTACCTTGCGCTAAAGAAAAAAGTACTACAAAAATAAATGCAATCGTGGCCCACCCAATAGAAAATAATATAGTGCCCTCGCCGGGCACACTGCAGAGCAGGCTGGGAGTTGTATCCTGGGGATGGTCTGTGGGCTCGCAGAGTTACCACTAAGTTACCATGCGTTACCATAGTGTAAATAGTCTTAACCGTGCAGGTGTATATAATAGTTTATTGATTAAACTCTGTTATTGTCCTTTGATATGTAACCGCCCTAAACCTGCGTTCTGTCCTGGGACTACGGGGGTTGCGCCCCCAAGGTTAAGAACCCCAGGTCTAAAACATAACCTCCAAATTGGAGAAATTGTGACAACATACTGTGCATATCTCACAATTCAGCTCTGGGTCCCACCCTATACAGTATGTTCTTAACTGGTGTACCATATTACACACAGCCATAATGTCTGGCATGTTATAAAAAAACCATATCAGACCCACATTGTGTATGTAACTGCAAGACCTGTAATCTTATAATACAAGTATCTTAGAGCCTTTAACCCCAAGGAATCTTCCTAAGGAGAAAAAGACAGAACAATAAAAAAGAACAGATGTTCTATTGTAAGACATTAATTTCCGGAATCCGATATAAATCCCTTTATTTTGGCCAGAGAGATATCCCAGAGACAGTCTGGTCAGGCAAGTCTCTCCTAGCCCCTGTAGGAAGAATCTTACAGAAAGGATTAACATCTTAGGTAGACCTTAATCCTCTCCAAATTGAAATGGCATTTTATTTTTCTCTCGAGACTAAATTCTCTCTCAGGACTGAAATTTGCTGCAGTTTAACTTTGCTTGTTTACAAGATTGATAATTGATGAGAGGATTTGGCCTTTCTTTTTTAAGGGTTACTCTCTGATTAAATGTGCAATAAGAAAGCAGGTTCCCTGGAGACAATAATTAATTTCTTTTGTTTTCTCTGTAACCCTAACGGGAGCCCACTTCATTAATAAAATTCTGATGTTGTTGCAGTTGGATTCTTAACTGAGGAGGAAATCACTAATTACTTCATTTCACAGTGTGTTTTTCAAACAGTCTTGTACTCTGTGTGCTCAGGCACAGGGGAGGATATCTGCTTCAAGCTGTCAGACAGTTCCAGGCAGCCCATGGATTAATCTAGCTTGGGTGTTTTTTTTGTAATGCAAGCTTTGATAGAGTTGTACAAAATGCATATGTAAAAAATATTCTTGCCAAAATGTGAATTAAATTTGTTGTAACAGGATAGACTGCTGAATTGTTCCTCTCAGGGCTCATAGTCCATGTTCACTTCGAGTAAAATCGTACACCAAATCCTCAGCTTGGAGTGGCCTTCAGATTTTGTCAGCCTCCTTGTACACGTCAGAGAACTGCATCAGGCAGTTACTTGAATTATTTATCCCAACTTCGTCTGCTTTCTACTATAACAAGAGGTGGCATCTCTTTAATTTAAATTTAGAAAGCCATTGCTTTGCAGAGCCACATTTCATAGCTTAACTGTACTGTTACAAATGGGGGGTTAGAAAATGTAGAAAATCAGGATCTGACCAGGCAGATTAGTCAGTAATAAATATAACCCCCTGCTTGTATATGATTTCTGACAAGAATATATGTGAGTGGTTGGTATAGTTAGAGGCACGTGAATTCTTGTTCTCTAGCACAGCTTTGCTGAAAAGAGTAATACTTCAGACTCACCTGATTAAACAAATATTTATGAACAATGACAGTTGCACACACTACCCTACACACAGCAAACATGGAAAATTTACTCTGTATAAAGACAAGGACTTTCAGAGACCTACATGTAAACCATCCTCGGACTGCTACCAAGTACTTGACTCTTAAATAATGTCTACAGAGGAAGAGATAAGCTGCCTTCTTAACTAAATAGCATACAACCTGTAATTAAATACCTCCCTAAAACCTGGTTTCCACAAAATAAATAGAAGCCCTAACCAGAGAGGCAGTATTAAGCTGAGGGATTCTTCTTGAAGTTCCTTAAAAGCTACAGAATAGCAGGCTCTCTAAGCAAGGTTCAAATGCTTAGCTCCATTTGAGATTTTCAGATGATTGTGAAGAACGGACTCTCACCTGGCACAAGCCTCAAGTTCTATCTGCTCCTGTCCTCTCTCTCTCATGGTCTCATCCTTTTTTTCCCCTTTTCTCTTGATCTGATCTTATATGGTATCTTTCTGGACTGTTAAGTAACACTTAACTATTTACAAAGAATTCAATTAAGGTAATCCAAGCAAACTTTGATTACTTTGATCACAGACTGGACTCCCTACTTCTCAGCAAATGTTCCCTCTTCTTTGAACCTGGAAATGTTTACACTGCCATGTTTTACACACTTTACCTAGATTCCTAGGCACCTCCATTGTCCCCTACTTCAGCCTATAGCCATACAGAAAACCATGTGTAATGTAAAAGGAAGAAATGTGTTATCATCTAAAACCGAAAGTTGTACTTAGAATATATCAAGACGTGTGAAAGCCAATTGCTTAATGGAGGAAAGTGGTCCAGTGGTAGGAATGGTTTTGCAGGTCAAGTCCAGGCTGTGCTAATGACTCGCTATTTTTCAGTTACAAGATTTTCTAAAAGTTATTTATGATTCATCTTTACATCTACAACCCCTGTACAACAAAGAGAATAAGGGCATGTGGACACGGCCACACGTTAGAGCTGTTCATTGTTTGATATGTGAAGAATTAGAGTTGATTAAAAGAGCAGTGCCATTGCAAGCTTGTGGGATCTCAGGCAGTTCCAGGAGTTGCTGTTACTTTATAAGCTGAGTGGACCCTGGTAGCACTCATCCAAATTAGACCTCCCACTTGGGGAATCCTCCTCACAGTTAGCTAATGACATGGCCCAGGCTCAGACTGCAACATCTAGACCATTGGATTCAGCCTGAGCTGTAAGTGCAGGTTCATTAAAATCAGCAACAGTCAGCTTTCAAAGTTTTTTTTAAAGAGCTATTATTGTTGTATAGATTATGCCAAGCAAAAGCCACTGAGTCACACCACAGACAGGAGAGTCGTGCAGTGGGATTTGGAGTAATAAAGGTAATTCAGTGACTGCAGACCAGTTTTCTCAGTGCTGGTCCTTGCATGTTTTTGTTCTACCTGAGCTCCTCATTACCAAGCTTAATTTGTTTCATAATTAAAATGCAATTTTCAGCATTGAGCAGAAGTTTAATAACTTGACTAGGGTCTGTTTTATTTTCAAAGCATAGAAAATCACTACTTTCAGCCTGTCCTACACTTTCAGCCTAAAAGTGATTGAATGAATCTTAATAGATGGAATGGTGACTAGCACTTACAAGCACTTTTGGGTCTGCATGGGCCGATTACTTGTTGGGTGGGATATTACTTACTGGTTAAGGATACAATCTAGCTAATTGAGGGGAGTTCTAATAACACAGCTCTTGATAAAGTGTAATGAGAATTTTACATTGAATGGCAGCTTCTTATGATCTTTATTAAAAGTTCAAATACAATTTTTAAAATATCAAAGAGCTACTATTGGGACTCTTAAAATATCCCGAGACCGCAGGTCCCTCTTGTGAAAGCCCATGTTTTTTACAAGAGTCACTCAGTCTTGTTGCTGCCTCCCCCTCAGAACCTCCCATGTCATCCAGCAGTTCCTTGCAGCTCCCTTGCTATATCTCTCTGTAAATGTTTCAAAAGTACATTGAGTCTGAGAAGCTTTTAACAGTCTGCATTTTGCTTTTCACTTTCATTCTGAGGAAGCTGTGAAGTCTTTGGAGGTGCATTTGCTTTCATTCAAAAAACACAAGCACTCTCCAGCTGTTCCTTTTGTTGCTGAAGCTGGTAAGGTCATGATTCTATAGTATTGTTTAACCTACATCCACTTCCTCTGTCCTGGGGTATATTTGTACATTGAAGGCTTTGTAATGTCATTATGGTGGAGAGATTAGCGAGATTTATAAGTATTTTGTTGTAATTTGTGTGCAAAAGTGTAGCCTTTTATGAACTACGATCTTTTAGTTTTTCCTGTCTTTTCTGACTGAATGTTATTCTATATGCAACATACTCTTAGCAGATGAACTAAATTAACTGAAACTGAATTCTCGTCTGCAAGTGTGATTAGCATTGAATTGCTGTATTGCACAAGTATTAAAAGAATTAGAGATTCCTGGACAAGACCCCTATACACACTTAGACACTGTGGCCAACATGTCTATATAGTGAACAACTTCGAGTAAGTTATGCACAATGGTCCATTTTAACCTGTTCATGCATTCAAGTTCTACTAGATTGGCCAAATTAAGACATTAAAACATTTATAGACTGTATAATTAGACATATTTCTTTGAGCCTAATATGGTAGATTGTTCCGTCTTCTGAAGTGCCCACTTTGTAGATTTAATCATGTATAAAGCATAAAGTTAATCTCAAGACTACAAAACATTTAATCTTTTTATCATTGACAGCCATTACAGAATGATTGGGCTCTGTGCCAGTTAATTACAGGTTTGAAGGTGGGTTGAAAGTTTGAGCCATTGTCTTTTAAAAATGATAGGATGAGACCCTCACTATAATTAACTACTGTAAACCCAAATGTGTCAGATGGTCAGAATATCTTCTTATTGGTAAACCTTCTTATGTTACAGTTGCAGATTTGCTCTTAGGAAATGCACACACTCTTTTTGTATTTCACCAGATCTAGCAAGTAAATCAGTTTCACTGCTGGTGCTTCAGTTTTATCTACACCTACCCCATATTTCAATCACAGTAATAAAATCAAAATGTGTATTTTGGAAAATTTTGGATGTACCATAGCATTAACTTTGACATTTTTAGATGTGGTCTGTTTTCAGGGTCATTGGAAATGCAAACATCTTCAAATCTTTATATATGTAACAGTGAGCATGCAGATGAAGGCCATGGAAAGGGTTTTGACAGATGCTGATATGCTTACAGTCTGCATTTGTTTTGCAGACCTGGAAGATCTCCTCGCATCTCTCAAGCACATCCAGTACAGTCTGTCTGACTCGCAGAGCCAGGAGGACATCTCAGTGGTGCTGCAGCTGATCCAGAAGACCGATTTCCAGAATGCCTTCCAAATCCACAATGCAGTAGCATTGCACATGAACAAGCCCAGTCCACCCTTCCCGCTGACGTCTAACGCACAGGACTTATCTCAGGAGGTTTGTGGCTGCTCTCGACTTATTTAGCACCTTATTTCTTTTATTTTCAGTCCTCTAGCTTTAAAGTCTGTTCTCTCTAAAAACATGAATATGAAAATTTTTCAGAGAGGCATGGTGGCGCTGTAGTTAACACTGCTGCCTCGCAACTCTTGGGCCCTGGGTTCATTTTTGGACCTGGAGTCCTATATGCATGTTGCTTGTATGTTCCTCCAGATGCTACCTTTTCCCTCCACAGTACAAAGACATGCTTAGTAGATTAATTGGCTTCTGTGAAAATTGTCCCTAATTTGAATGTGTGCATCTAGATCTGTGAATCCTGCGATGGACTGGCTTCCCATCCGGGGTATGCCCTGTCTTCTGCCTGTTGCTTTCTGGGAAAGGTCCTGCTCCTCTGTGAACTTGAATTTGATGAAGCAGTTAAAAGATACATGGATTGAAAATGTTTCAGTTTTTATCAGTTGTGTAGGAAGGCTAAATCCAGAAGCCACGGCTCAGTTGCTGTGCAGTGATACATAGTCTCCTTTGGTGCACTGGTATTCCCAGAATTTCCTTTTCATTATGCTGTATCACAATGGCTGCTTAGTGATGGAGCTCTGAGGTGCAGCTCAGTTCCGTCAAGGACCTCTGTGGGGTAGGGAAGTACATCAGTCCTGTGACCCCTTTGGTCAGGAAATCATTCCTCCTGCCTTCCTGTTAAAAAGTTTTATCTCTAATCTACTCTAATGCTTTTATGCTAAACATATATTTTGGAATGAACCCAGAAATCAGATATCAGCCAGCATCTTAGGCTGGGCACAGGTCAGAATAGCAACCATGAAAAATACCATGAAAACTGAAAATTGGGTGTAATCAAGTGACTTTTGTGAAGTACGTTCTTCACAGGCCGTCAAGCCTGGAAACTGTTTTCTTTCTTTTTAAAACTATTGCATTGAAATGTCCAATGTGTCTAATGGAGATATTTTGTCCACCAGTTATTAGTCTTTTGGAAATATGGCAGACTTAAGAATTAATTGACTTAGTAAATTTAATTATCCCCCCTCCCTAAGTGGAATATGTACATGGAAGATTTTAGTCATGCTGTATTTGGGGCTGCTGTGCAGTAAACTCTCCAGTAAATAGGTAGTCTACATTATTGGAATGTGGGCTAATTGTAAATTAATTGTTTTTATTTCCTTTCCTGTCCTTATGTGGTCCTGTCCTTATGTTATACCTGTCAGTTTAAACTGTTCATTGTAACAACACAATGACAACATGCCAAATAAACAATCACTGTAGCCAGCCATTATTTTTTAAACAGGCCTTCCTCTGCCCTTCAGATTGTCACTTGCCCAGTCATCAATCTTATTTAGTTGTAATTTACATATTCTGTGTGGTATGTTTATATACATTATTTTACATAACTGTAGTAACATAATGCTATTACACTTTCAGTATTTAAATACATTAAATGTGTGGTTAAGTATGTGGAGATTTCACACTGTAACATTCATTGGTAATATAATGACTAATTTATTAAATCAATATTGTTTTCTGATCTAAATAGAATAGACTTCATTCTCAAGATCCTGCCGTGGTTATCTCCAATCTCTAGTAAATAAAGAGAAAATTATAATCTGACAACTGACCCCTACTTCAGCAACAGACATAGTGTCTGTTTGAATAAATGTATTCCTGTTGTAAAATTGAAATTGCATCCCATGCAACAGCAGCTTATATTAAGATGCTTCAAGTTAGTAATTTAAGCATTAAAGCATTGTTTCTAATATAATTTGATCTCTGGTTCCAGAAGCAAACTAAACTTGTTCTGTGCAGACCTGCCTTAAGGTTTCTTTATATATGATTTTAAAATGGTAGTGTGTACACTCCACATAGGGTCTTATTCAGAGAACAGATTAAGCTCTTCGTGACAGGTCCAGGACAGGATGTCAGACTCCAGATGTAAGACAAGTTTTTGTACCATCTGTGACACCCCAGATGAAATATCTAAGGGCAGTCTAGATCTTGACTTGTGTCTGGAACTCAAAAGACTTACGGAAGGAAGGCAACCAATTTGCACTGAATCCACAATGAGTCTTTGCTTTTCTCTACCGTGTCCCAAATGGTCTGCTATCTCTGTACATAACAGCTGATGTGCATCTTTCTATAAAAAACTCTGTGACCAACTTGTTGTGAATAATTCTCTGAAAAATACAAAACAATTAGTATAGATATTGTCACTGCGAGTCTGGATTGGGTCTTTAGTGACATAGTTGGCTGAATGTGTTATTTAATTTAATATCCAGCAGCTTCCCTTATGACTTGCTAGGAACCTATGAGTTTGCAGTTTTGTCAGTGACGGTTGCATCACTCTTTTAGTTTATGCTGTGACCAATGTGTGTTATAAAAATACCTCATTTATTTACTGGTCTTTAAATACTAAAATATATAGAATTTTCAAAGGCCTCAAATGTTTAAAAATCTCTGCATTAGAGAATCTTGAATCGGCAAAAAACTGAATCACAGATTGCAAAAAACATCAAGGGTCATCAATCATCAATTATCCCAAAGCTGCTTAACAGGGTAGATGGTGAGAAATGTTGCTTATTGATTAAATTACTAACAGAAATGCATGCACAAGATGCATTTTTGTTTTTATGAGCATTAGTGGTGTGTTTAAAAAGAACAAAAATGTGAATGGCATTTTAATGTTACCATCTTCAGCACAAAAAAGTATTTCATTGAGAAGCTGTCAGATTATGTCACTGAAATGAATAAAGCTCCTATTACACAGCAGTTTTGTAGTCTATTAACAACAGGGTCTGACTAGAGTTCAACACCTTCTTTATATTTTCACAGCCAGACATGTTATTGTAATTGCTTTTCTTCATTAGTATAGTTTGTGTAATTGCATCTGGTCAGCCCTCAAATGAATTCATCTGTGTACTGTAACTGGAATTATTTTCCTTTTCTATTTCACTTTCAGCTCCTTCATTCCTTTAATTTCTGTTCACACTGATATGTTTTTACTTCTGTTTTGCTGTCCTTCAATTAAGCCTCCTATTTATTTGCTACAGTAAGCTAACAAAGAGAATTTTATCTTAATTAGTATAGAAGGGAAGCGGGAGGAAGTAACAACAAAGTGAGAGAAGTAAGCAAATTTAAAATGGCAGCACTTGCTCAGTCGTCCATGTTCTGTGTCCTCATTGTTTTGGTTCAAGATGAAGTACTTGTTTAGAGATTTCATCAGTAATTAGAACAGAGGGATGCATATGTAGCTTGATCACAAGGGTGTACTTCTTCCCATCATAGTCCAAGATGTCCAGAGGTAAACCCATGAAATCCCACTGTTTGTCCTCTTATTAATTATTTTTTTCATGCTCATATTAACAATAACTCTATCTCTAATGACCTAGCACCCCAAAGTACTACAAAGCAAGAAACTTTAAAATAAAGTATCTCACACATAGTTCAGGAAGCTTATTATAAAGTCCCTTTTAGACAGTTTAAATGTTTTAGACTTTGCAGTTCGGATCCTTGTGTATATTACCTTTTTCACAAAACAACAGGGTGAGGTGAAGCAAACATGTCCTTCAGAAATAATCTCTTTGGGAATCTTTTACATTTCTAAATGGTTAATAATTGCTTTACTTTGAGCCTTCATCTGTACTAAGTTCAACTGTCTTAAAGGATCATTCTTAGTAAATCTGTTAAATAAGAAAATCTCCTTGCAGGTGTCAGGGTGGAGGAAAGCCAGGATTATTTCACTGAGGACAGAAAAAGAAAATCCTGTAACTTGTTTGGAAATAGTCCATGCACATAGCTTTGGCTGTTCAGTGCAATTAAAGTCACAGGTGGTGAATGCCAACTGTAGCTCCCAAGATCACAAAATTTACAAGTTTTCCTTATTCAGTAACCTTGAAGCCATCATGCTTGAAGAAAGTTGGTGAGAAGAACAGCAAAAAATGTTAACCTTTTTAATCTCGGGAAAACTGCAAAGGACAAATATTTCCAATTCTCAAGTGAGTGTTCAGGTTTGGATTCTAAATAGAAAACTGCTTTGAGAGTCAGAATTGCACTATTAATTAAAATAATGGTAACTGGGGTCTTTTTAGTATACATTTTAAATTGAAACATTTTATATATGCAATTACAATGTTACTGCTTTATATTACTTAACATTCAGCCCTCACGTATCACATATTGAGTTCTACTTTATTTGCCAGTGTCTACCAATACAAAATGATAATGTTATCTGTTACCTCACTATCCCACTGTCCATTACCTGCATACCTTCCAAACAAATGTACAAACTAGGTTGTATCCTAGTAGATACAAAACTAAGGGCAAACCACTGTTTTTTCAGGGTTTTTTTTTTAAGATCACTTTATTGGCCATATACAATTTCTTGTATTAGGAAATTGTCTTTTAGCATACCCTAATTTCCTCTTCATGAGACACACAGACAGGGAGAGAAGCTTGGGGTCAGAGCGCAGGGTCAGCCATTTATACAGTGCCCCTGGAGCAGTTGGGGTTAAGGGCTTTGCTCAGGTGCTTAACGGAGTATAATTATATATGACACTTAAACTTACTCTCTTTTGTGATGTAAATTGGAGGTTGTACACATTACCGTGTACTTGGAAGTTTCATTGTTTAAAATGCACTCATCCTTACTGATTCATTATAACCCCAAAATGTAAAAATAGCTTTGTGGCTCCTCTTTAATTGTTTAAAAGTTAATTGATTTGTTTTTAGTTTTGTGTCATGCCCAAGATGTATGGCAAGCAGTGCTCTTTTGATTTGGTTTAATTACTTCCTCTAGAAATTTTATAATCTTACTGTTTTTCAGTTAATTCGTTTCACATTTTACCATGTTTTTAAATTTGTTCTATCTGTTCTTGAGAGAAATGGTACGTACAGATGCAGCCATTCAAAATGGGTGGGGTATTTCGCGGTATACCCCAGTGGGCGTGTCGCAGTATCACGCAGTATCACGGGGTAAATCGCGTCATTTGACGTCATGCTGGAAAGTATCCGGCATCACCTTGTAAAACCGCCAGGGGGAGCCAATAAAGCTTAACCTCTCATGTACTGCATTTGAGCTTTTAAATTTAAACTCTGTATTACAGCATGTTAATAATGAGTCATTAGAAAGTTGGTATATTTTATGAAAGCAAGATTGCTCAGTTGGACAAAAGTACACAACCTACCTTTATCAGAAATATTTATGCATCAAAGCCTTTACCGAAGATATTACTAATAGAATTAATAATGAATGACTTTGGACAAGCTGTAAACTAAAAGTATAATTTCTTTAGCACATTTGTACAAGCACTTGGAATCTGTCCAAGCCATACTTTGTCAGGCATTTTCTTTTACTGCAACGGACATAAAAACTCCCTTGCTTTTAACAGAGCGTTTCATAATTTCTAACTACGAAAATCATTTAAACTGCGACACTTATCATTCAACCAGAGCTCAAAATATCACAAGGATCCTCAAGAGCACATTAAAGACTGTATTAAAAGATACTTGTATCAGATACATGAGAATCCAGGCTTTTTTATCAACGCTTTCTTTTCCGTATACCAGATATTATGGAACCACTTCAGAAGGGTGTCAGCCAGTCAGATTCCAGGAATCGATACTTTAAAGAAAAAATACACACCGGTATTCCAGTTCTTCCTAAACATTTTAAGCATCGAAGTCTTTAACTAACATGTGAAATAGCGTGGAAAAAAGTGGTAGTTTTAAGCTTTTCTGCTAATATAATATGGAATTGCGTATCTAAAGAAATTAATAAGGATATGATTATATTCGTGTACTGCGACATTTCTTTGAAAAAATAAAATAGCAATATTATGGACAATTAATTGACTTTTATATTTCTAAATATCACAACATGATCGAATTTAAGTCATTTTAATAACAATGAATAGTCACCTATGCGTTACAATATAAACATTTATATTGATTTAAATCACGTTTTGATTTAAATCGCAAACGTTTGTTTAAATATGTGTTTTTTTATTCACAATCAGACAAATGCAACATAAATTGATATTTTTATCTTCTAAGTATCTTAAACTTTCAGCATAGCTTTCTCCCCATTTAGATTTATTTTTCTTGGGATCTTGGGATCAAACGTGGAAAGAATAGATTGTAATCGTTTTATTTTTTAAATACATTTTAGAAAAGTGTAATCTATACTAAAAAGCTGTACACCACCTGCTATAAAGATACATATTGTAATACTTTCGGACTCTGGTTATTAAAGATGGAGCTTTTTAATCAGTTAAGTTTGCCCCACCCTTGGTGAATGTAAAAAGCAAAGTCAATTTAAGCTGGAGCGGTGGCACTGTGGCTAAAGATCTGCGCCTGTGGTTGTAAGGTTGCCGGTTCAAATCTTGTGGCCGGCAGAGGAATCCTACTCCATTGGGCCCCTGAGCAAGGCCCTTAAACCCAGCTGCTCCAGGGGCGCCGTATAAATGGCTGACCCTGCGCTCTGACCCCAGGCTTCTCTCTCTCTGTCTGTGTGTCTCATGGAGAGCAAGCTGGGGTATGCGAAAAGAAAAATTCCTAATGCAAGCAATTGGATATGTCCAGTAATGTGATCCGATCTCTTTTAAGAAATTTATAAATTTGTAGAACCGACTTTTTTGGCTGGCAACTGGCTGGATTGTGTCCGAAATATCAGTTGAGTCCATTCAGTGCTGGAAGAAGGCTTCCAGAAGAAAGGAGTTGCTGAATAAAACTGGGAATGAATATGGCAGCATTCCTGAGACTCCCAGGCTGCTACTTAATTGAATGTGTGGGACCCTGCTGCTCAGGAATGATCTTTGAGAACTGGAATTCCCATGAGAGATGAGTAGGCTGAACTGAGAGGGTACTGTATGTCATGAATGCAAATCTATATGCAAAACCATCTTTATATGCTTAGTTTCAATAGCCCTATAATTATCAGAGTCTGTTTTGTCATGCAGAGATCATCACTCTCTGAGCCTATCTGACCTGGTTTGTCAAGGGATTTGTGCAGGCTGGTCACTTCTGTTCAGCTTAAACACCTCTGTACTGACTCTAAAGCCATGTTACCTTAGAATAATCTAGACATCAAGTGATGTGGAAAATGTGGGGTGTCCATATTGTCCAAACCATCTTGTAGCTTGTAGAACTACTTTTTTGCTCCAATTGTGAAGTTCCTAAGCTATATTTAAATAAGGATAAGAAGGAAGATTTTTATCTTTACAGCACTGATGTGTTCTCTTATTACATTTGCAGATTTCACTTTTACAATTACTTTCATTTTACTAATAAAATTAGTAAAACTATTTTTTTGTTGAAAAAGCCATACAGTGTCAAGTTGACATTACCCCTCTTTGTGAACAAATCGGGGGTTGAAGTAATTTTTCTTCATAAAAACATGAATATTGATTCAACAGTAGGCCAAGTCAAATCCCACAACGTAAGAGTGACAAGCTTTTCAAAGGTCATGTTCATTACTTAGGTTTTTATCCATTAAAAAGGGAATACATTTTCTCTCAAGATTAAAATTCTGCTTTCAAGAAAGGACAGTATGACAAAGATTCAGATTGCTGGTCTCTCCCACGTGAAGGAGAGACCATACAGTTTCAGTATAATAGTGACTAAATTGCTCTAGAAGAGGTTTGTGGCCTTACAATGTGTTGGTATTTTTCATGGCATGGAAAAAGGTTTATTCATTCTAATAAGTAATACTGACAAGAGCTATATTGTCTTTCTGTCTTCAGTGTGTGCATTTCCAAGAAAGCCATATGTAAAGGAAGTAATGTTTGGAAGTAATGTACTGACAAATGTCTTCTGCCTCTTAGTTTGCTCTAACTTTACTCCTTTCAGGTCCCTGTAGTCTCCCTCTGGTCATGCATGCACAAATCAAATACCAAATTAATCTGTTGAATTATACACACTTCTTCTTTCCCAATGTTGTTGTGGATCTTAGTGCCGAGACCCTCCATGGTGCAGCTCTATAAAGTATGTGTAGGTGAAAATGTATGTGTTTGCACCCTGTGTCTTAAGCAACTTAATTCACTAGGAAGGTGAATTACCACTTTCTAGAATGAATGAGTGTAATTTTGTTTTAAAATAAGTCAATTAAGTGCACTTTATCAAACTTTTTAGGTAGTGAGTAATGTTAAAATATGTAATGGGCAGTATATGGCAGACCATTTCACCTGGAAAGTGACCTGTAAAAATTTCTCCTTAGGTTCAGGCAATACTCCGATCAAGCCAGCAAAAGGATGGACTGGAATTGAATGCACTGTTAACTTCCCCTCACGTGCAGGTAAGAATTGTTGTTTCAGGTTATTTAAGTGCGAATAGTATCACATTATCTAAAAATAATCAGTCAGCTGTCAGTGTTTTGGTTGCAGATTCTGGGTTGTGTGATTTTGGGAGCTGTTGTTCAGGTGCTTCTAGTATTCTTATTGTCTCTCATCGGTGTCTTCAGTGACACTGTTCTCCAAACATCTCTCTGTCTAGAGTCTCTGTCTGGAGGATCTTCTTTGCTTCTGTTGCCCACTTCTTCAGAGAACAAGAACAGGTTTTTTAATTTCTCCAGTAATTAAAGAAATAAGTTAAAACATTAAACCTCAAGGTCAAATTTGCTATTATAGTATAGTATCAAAGAACTACACAAACTCACAAAAGCAAAAAGCCTAAAATAGCTAGATTGTCCCTTTGGGGATTTGTTGTTTTTTTTGCGATACAATACACAATTTAATCATGTATTGAAATATGCACGTGTTTTAGTTTAATAAAGTCAGATGCATTTCAATGAAATGGCATGTAAGCATGTATTTTGGAAGTGGGGAAAAAAAACCTGTAGAGCACAGGGAGAGCACCTTAACTTGACGATGTCAGATAGTGCAGCTACAAGAAACCCCAGGGCCCCTGCACTAGGAGGCAGCAATGCTAACCACTACACTACTATGCGCACGCCCTGTATTTTCACCTATCTGCTTCTACTATTTTTTACCTTAGTTTTTTCGACTGTTCTGATTGCTTATTTATCCTTGGAACAGGTAAAGATAGGTTCTTTAGGGTATATGTTGTCATTACTTATGTCTGCAATAATTTATGCAGAATACTAAAGAAGTAATTGGATGTATTCATGGTTGCTATTCTTATGGTAATTTTCTTACAGCAGAGTTTGTAGTGCATTGATGCTGAACAGTACTGCTGAAGTATTGTTTTGTCAGTGAACCATTCATTTTCAAACTGGCTCTTGAGCAGCAACTGTGCGCACTTTCATGTCAGAATTGTATTACAGGAATCTTCAGGTTAACCATCAGTTTGATGATTAAGTGGTCTATCTTTGAGGACAGTAGAAAAGAAAGTTGTCTTTATATGCGTTTTCTCTTGTCGGTGTTACAACCGGAAGTTCCTCACAGAGATGCCTCAGCGAATTGAAAATTTTTCTAGGGATAATCTAATATGAGCAGATTTGTGCTGAATGGAGTGGTGTTTTTTCTCTTTCAGGAAGTTTTGTTTTTCAATTTTTAGACAATTTTTAGGGCAAATGCTATTCGAAGTACACTTAGAATCCTTGAATTGTGAAGCTTTATCATTTTTTCAATGAAGACAGCACCTTCAATTTCTTGTTCACTCTTAATGTGGAAGATATCTTAAATGACTTCCAAGTAATTTTTATTTTTGTATTCTTCTTTGTCCTGTAAAGCCATTTTCCAGTAGACCTATGTGTGTAAATATAACAGTGCCTCAATCAGCATGGAGGATACAGTCCAGAGAAAGGAGCAAGGGTCCAATGGGGATGTGTTCTCAAGAGTGCTGTTTCTTACAAGTGGCAACATATGAAAGCTTTATTTTGGTACTGGTAATCGCTTCTTTTTTATGAGCGATTTCATATGGCTCTGGCTGTACAGTAAGCATTCATGTCATGCTACACTCTCATTGTCTGTGAGCTTGCACACCACTTTCCATTGCTTTTTTCCCTTAAGCACATATAGTAGTAGGATGCACAATGACAGCCTGCACTGTGTATTCTCTAGTTGCTTCTACAGTATGTGACCCAAATGTGCATCACAGTCAGGCAAACGCACTTCCAGTGAAGTTATTAAAATAATAGTCGGGACAAAGATAGTTATGGCAAATTAGCTCTAATAGGGGCTACATTGCTTTACATGACACTGCAAGAACAAACTGTGAATTATTCCAGATTAGATATTAGAAGTGCATATCAATGCTTAATTAAAGCGTTGTTAAATCATCCCTTACTTTTGAGCATCACTCATTACCCATCTGCAGCCCCAGTACACATCAGATATGATTTGAATTTTCCAAAGACTCTGGGGTAACACTCCTATTCTTAACGAACATTGCAATCTTTAATGACCAAGTAGACAGGCCCTTAATTTTAAGGTCTTGTCTGAAAGATGGCAGCTCCTACAGTACCTGATCCAGAGGGAAGAGTGCTACCTACTGGTCCACTAATGCCATTTACAGCAGTAACATGGTTTTCCTTGCAGGTCTCCTATCCCAATACTTACCAAGACCAGTCAAGATACATCAGTGGTAGCATAAAGAATTGACCATTTTTGCCAGCAGCCTTAACTGATTGTTCCATTCAAGGCTAAACAGAACTGTGTTCATTATACTGTACTGTTAATAATCTTTTTATTGTAAAACATAGACACTCATTCCATTGTTAAGTTCTGTAAGGCAAATCTTAGTATTTTCAGCTTTTTACATGTCAAGTAGGAAATCAAGAATGAGCAGGTTTTTTTGTGGGTCTGAGTTGAGAGATGAGGAGGTGGTAGTCTTCTGGGTAGTATGGGAGTTCTGGGAGCCCTTTAATTAATCTTTGCAGCTGTTTTCACATTTTTATTTTCTTGGAAACCTTGCTTTTGCTTATTTTCTTGTGTTTCTGCACTGGCAATTGTAAGGTCACTTTCATGTCCATAACTAATTTTCACCTGTCTGCTTTAATTATGTAAAGAATTAGGCAATGTCGCCTGACATTCCTAAACCCATTGCCAATGTAAGCAGAAGCCAGGAGATTAAGAGAGTACAACCCCGATACATTTGCATCACTGCTGGAGTTGGTGATGGGCTGACTTCTGTGCTTTGCACATCATAGTGGAGTTTATTAAGAAGACTGCATTGTACAGAAGCTCAACCGTCAAAGGTTAGGCAGTGTAGAATGTAAGTAAGAACTAAAATTCAGAACATTTTTTTTCATGTTTTATAAATTGCTTGTCAATATGCTAGATCACTTGCAAACCATTGTTCCATGTGTTATGATTTTCTTTTTGCTTGAAAAGTTTAGCCTAATTTTCCATAAAGTACTTTAACGGTGAGAATACTGACTTCATCTGCTAAAATGTGTTTTGAATGCATTGTTTAAAACTGAAAATGTAGTGCTGTGGAATCCAACCACTGATAAGAGAGTACCAATATTTAAAGAAGCAACATGAAAAGGTTTAGATGTTGTATTTATTTGAGTTTAACCGTTTCAAACTAAAAACCAGGAATTTAATGCAGATATGTTTCTACTATTTCTGGAACCTTATCACTTCTTTCTGAATTTACACCCCAGAAGTGTATCCCTTCTTAAAATACTTTAAAATGCTGTTGACTATGTAGTGGTTTTATGATTTTACTGAGACAATTATTAATTGTAGCAGTAATCACGAGGTGGTTCGTTGTGGCTTTCAGAAAATACTGTGAGGGTAATCAATATACAAGGTATATAATATCAAAGAGATGCAAACACAAAGAGATGCACAATAGAGAATATATTTCAATATATCGTTCGGCTATACCAAATCGCTAGTCATTGTTATTACCCACTGTTACACTAGACTCGGAAGTAAATACATTACTCATTAATTAAATTGATAACTGACTAGTAGAAAGTCTCTATGCACAGAATGTGACTGCGGGTCCTCGCAAGTCACTCTTTTGCACGGGAAGAAACTGGTTCGTTACCCGGCCAGTGCTGCTTCTGAATAAGCTATTCAGGTTGTCGACGAGGGTCCAACTGTAGGCTGCCGTTGATCAAGCGGAGCATTCACACTGGTCGTTGCAGAATTCTTGAGTATGTATGGGATCCTCGGCCCCTCGCTTAGAACAAAGTCCAAGTCCCAGTGCAGACAACACCAGTTGTCACGTGATTGTCTCTGAGGGTGCGTGAAAATGGCCAAGGAGAGGTCTGACCTGAGCTTGTCTACCAAGACAGATTTTGACCAAGACACAGATGTGTACTGATTGGTTGAGAGTTTGGCGGGCATGGGAGACCCATGTGGTATTACCACACCCTGCCAATCCCTGATTGATTGATCAAGGTGAGATATGAGTCACTTACTCCTGACATTTAGCATTGACTCCTTGACAGATAGGCACCAATGGATGACCATTGATCATGATAGCCAGGCTTAGCTATGTGCATCGCCATTTGGAAACTGTCCCTTATCTAAAGAAAACACCTTAAATCAGCCTGCATGAATAGCTTCTCTGTGTCTGCACCATAGAGATGAAGAGAGAGATGGGGCCTCATTTGGGAAAGCACAGCAATGCTTAATTCTGTCTTCTTAACCAGCATTGCAGCTACATATCCCCCCTTTTTGAAGGTCACGAGGTCCTGAGGCATTGTTGCCTTCAAAACAAAAACAGAGTTAAGTGACATCTGTCGAAACACATTGGATTTTACCACCCAATATTCACATTACCTCTCGAGAATTCGTACAGGAAATAGTGTTGGAAAGAACATTGCATATACCTGCTCTCGGTTATAAGGTACATAGAAATGAGGTATCGGGCATCATCATTAGCCCTAGACTTTTGACCTCAGGCAGTTCACTGTCAGTATTGGATAGCTCTGCAGCAGGCAGACGTTTGGGAGTGGTTACCCGATTTCGATAATACACAATTGCTCCCTTTGTCTCATTCAAACTACCCCGCAAGGCTTTGATACAAGAGAACAGCATCCAACACATTCCACCAGCCATGATCCAGCTACCCAGCAGCAGTGTCAATATGACTACGTTTACTGTTCCCAGCTTCCCAGAGGATCCACATCAACCATGTCTGGAACCTACCAGCTTAGTTTGTACATCATTATCGTTGAGAACAAACTCGACTACTTGTACCCCCTCAAGGCTTACTGTCTCTTGGATTCTGTCATCCAAATCAACGCTGTGTCCTCTGAAAGCGTCCACAGAAGTTCTGTTTCATATAGTTCTGACTCCAGGTGGTATAGCGCTAAATCATTGAGATGCACTATAGCCCCTTCAGGAACTTGTAGAAAAAATGTTTGGTTGTATA